TGGCGGATTCGAGCGATTCTGTCTCCATTGATATGGAAGCATTGTCTCTTGGAGGACAGGTAAATTGTCTTCATTCGTACAATTTGTAAGGATTTTTTTTTGTTTGGTTAGTGGGAATTTAAGGGACGATACAAGATAGGAGAAGAAATGGTAGTTATTGGTTTTGTTTTTCTTCATTCTTCGAGCTGCTTTATTACATTAAATTTGTTCATGTTTTTGTTGGTTTTAGCAAGTTCTGGAATCACACGCAATGCTGGGAAATTATTCATGTTGCTAATTTTTATTGTTTGGAGCTGAAATTGGATTTGTTGTTTTTGTGTCGGTATTACAATCCAAAATACAAAAAATGTGTTGTCGAGAATCTGATTCGTCTTATTACGCTTCAGGTTCTGTGTTTTTTTTTTTTTCTTTTGGGAAATTTCATGTCTTCTTCCCCAAATTCATGGCTCAATTGACTTCTGATGTACAATTATGCTAGTATTTGATCCAATTCTTGTACTCTTGGATTCTTCACATTCGTTTTCTCATTGTTTTTCAAATTTTTCATGTTTTTATCATTGCAATGTTTTTTTATTGCGAAATTCTATAATGAAGGTTCTTTTATTGTTGGTTAAATTTTAATGATCCTTTTTTTTTGTTTGACCATAGTATCTTATTTGCTGTTTATGAGTATATGATTGATTTTTATGGGAAATTTTGATACTTTTTTTTTAGTTGGTCTCTAATCAATTTTATACATCTGACAAGGGAAATGAAAGTTTTTTAGGTGTGGTCCATCTCTATGCATGTTCTTACTTGTTCATAGAGTAGTTGGTTACTGAATTAAATTTCTTAACACTTTTTTTTTTGGTTAATAGGAACACATTGTGGAGACTTCTCATGGCCCGGTATGTGTTGCCGTTTGTGGAGATCCAGATAAACCAGCTCTTATCACTTATCCTGATGTTGCTCTAAATTGTAAGCATTTATTCTTCTGCTATACTTATCGAATATTTCGTAACTTTAGTTGTTGAATAAGTTATATGATTAGAAAATGAAATGCTTCTTGTTGCAGATATGTTCTGTTTTCAAGGATTGTTGTTTTGTCCAGAAGCAAGTTCATTGTTACTCCACAACTTTTGCATATATCACATCAGTCCTCTTGGCCATGAGGTTGGTAACTTGAGTCTGATTTTTTTCTTACAAAATTTGTATGTTTCTGTTATTTTTAATGCAATTCATATCCCTTATTACATTGATTTATTCAAGAGTCATTGCAGTTGGGAGCTCCAATGATTAGTGTTGATGCTCCTTTGCTCTCCGCTGATGACTTAGCAGACCAGATAGTCGAGGTTCTTAATTTTTTTGGGTAAGAAATCATTTCGCGCATAAATTTTATTTCTGATTGTTATTTCATTATTCTTGTTAGATCGTTACCAAATTCTTTCTCCTTCGACTGGATAGAAGAAAGATTGACTAAATTGATTTCTTATTGGTTCTTATCCAGACTTGGGGCAGTAATGTGTGTGGGAGTCACAGCAGGAGCGTACATTCTGACCTTATTTGCTGTAAGTATATGTGTTCTACAGTAATGGTACTCTTTTTACGCTTATTATTCTATTTGATATCCAATTTTTAATTTTCCTTACAACTTAATTATTCTAGATGAAGTACAGGCAGAGAGTTTTGGGATTAATACTCATCTCTCCACTGTGCCAAGCGCCTTCTTGGTCAGAATGGTTATGCAATAAGGTTTGTTTTGACAAACATATCATCTTCGGTTTTTTACTTGTGGTTATGGTCTTGATTATCTAATTCTCATATTCAGAGATTCCTTAATATATGCAGGTTATGTGTAATTTCCTTTACTACTATGGTATGTGTGGAGTGGTAAAGGAATTGTTACTAAAACGGTACTTTAGCAAGGTATAGTCTCTTGTCCTATACTTAATTATATTTGATCAACTATGGTTTTGTTTTCAAAGGCTTCTTGTAAATAACACAAATGATAAAGTTTTGACATATGTTATCATAGGAAGTTCGTGGTAATGCTCAAGTTCCAGAATCAGATATTGTTCAAGAATGCAGAAGAGTTAGTAAAATCCTTCTTCTCTTTTCTTTCATTTTTCTGATGTTTTGACATTTTTTTAAGTAAAATTCCGTCAAATTTATGTGTTATGTTCTCCACTATCCAGTTACTTTGCGAGCGGCAGAGTACAAATGTATGGAGATACCTTGAAGCAATCAACGGGTAATTCTCGTTTCTCTCTGTCGATTTCATTTCCAGATATATGAATTTTGCTTTCTGATGTTTTCAGACTAAAGCTGAGATAAGTTTGTTTTGTGATTTTGGTGAAACAGGAGAGTGGATCTTAGCGAAGGGTTAAGGAAATTGCAATGCAGAACTTTAATATTCATTGGTGAAAATTCCGCGTACCACTCCGAGGCAGTACACATGACCACTAAACTCGACAGACGATACGGCGCATTAGTCGAGGTACGATAATACATCAAGAATAATGTCTATTTACTTTGTTATCGTTCAGATAAAAACTTGGTTCTGTATTTAAGCTCACCCTAAATCATATATACATATAAAATGGTGGACTTAAACAGGTACAGGGAAGTGGTTCGTTGGTGACCGAAGAACAGCCACAGGCGATGGTAATACCAATGGAATACTTTTTGATGGGATATGGCTTGTATCGTCCCACACAGAGCGTGAGCCCGAGAAGTCCTTTGAGCCCAACCCGAATCTCGCCTGAGCTACTCTCACCGGAAAACATGGGGTTGAAGCTTAAACCCATTAAGACACGACTCGCCCTATGACATTGCCTTATATGTTACACACATTATATTACATATACATGATACAACCACATAAAAATCGCCATTGTTGGAGTTGAAGGTGCTCTTCTGT